TAGAAGCATGCTGAAGTTTATAAAGATGTTCTAATAGTGCCCATTGACAAATGTGCTTGTCCCCTCCTACCCCGTCTCCACATGCAATAATACAAACTTTGACCGTTCAAAGGTTTAACTACATTGCCATGTTATATGGACTTTGTAAGAACATTTTCCTCGTGGAGTTGATAGAAAAGAAGATGGAGAGAGGGAAAGAAGTCTAGAAATAAAGCATCTAAAGCATGGTGAAACTAACAAGTATGTTATATCTCACGAGTGGGTGCGGTATTTTCTTAAAATATTAATGAACGAAAGGGGGATGGATGAGTTTCAATATTCGTGTTCTCCAAGCATGAGAAAGTTAGATAAAAATGTTACATAGATTATATTCATTTTTTTTTTGAAACTGATAACTTTTCTATATTTCATATGTAGCAAAAACAGTACTTAGGTAGTACTGAAACCATATATACAAGAGACTCTATCTATCATTAACACTTTCTATATTGAGTCTAAAACATCAATAATGGTATTAGTATCATTTGTGTACATCTGATTACACCAAAAACTTAACAGCAAAATAAAGTTTAACTTGATCTTTTGCACGCCATTCTCCACATTCTCAAAACATCTGGAGTTTCTCTCTTTCCAAATTGTCCACCAAACACAAGCAGGTATAATTTTCCATCTAGTCCTATCCTTTGCATGTAGTCCTGCTTCCTCCCAACTTTTAAGAGTATCTACAACTTTCCCAGGCATGGTCCCGGAGATGCCTTTGAGGTTAAGAATAATTCTCCATAGGTGAGAAGTTATCTTACAACGGAGGAAGAGATGGTTAACTGTTTCTGCTGTTTCCCCACACAAAAAACATCTAGAACATAAGATGAGGCCTCTTTTCATCAGATTATCTTGTGTAAGGACAACTTCCTAGATTGTAATCATTTTATAGATAAAGTTGTGTATCACCTTGTGTTTTGGACCCAGCCTATAAGCATGAGGAAGTGAAATGAAGGGCTAAGTAGCTTTTCTGGTCTTATTGAACAGCACGCCTTTTATGTGCCTCGTTTTCACTCTAAATACGTTACTTAAGGAAGAACTTCAAGGAGACTTGACAATCAAGGGCAGTTTTTCATCTTGCATAAGCTAATAGCAAATTTAAAGGAAAACCATCTGAAGGATCACTTTCTCCCATTATCGTCAAAGTAGTAGGAGATATGGTGTCTGGGTTACTTGCATTCTGTATTATCTTGCAATCAGGATGTTGTAGAATCTGTAGCCAGTCAGTATTGAAATGCCATACTTGTATAAATCTGGACACTGCTTGTTGCTTTTAAAGAAAAACTTGCAGAAATTTGTAATTTCTAAAGGCTGTTATGGACACTGTGTCCTATGATGTAGAGACTTTAGGTCTCGATAGATTTTAGTCACTAGCGAGCTGATCAACCTAAAAAATGAATGTGAGGTGCCAAAACTGTCATCCTGACAGCTATTATAACAAGAAATGCTTATTTTATGAATAGCTATTGCCTGGATTTCCTCATTGTAACCATTGAATAACAGCAATAAAATTTAGCCATGTGGAGAATTTTTCCATACCCTTTGTTAAGCCGCAACTTTCAATATTGGTCTTACAGGATTTGTGTACCTGTAATAGTGAAGAAAACACATTCTTTGGGAGATTCGTTTCCTCCTAAAAAGTGATCCTTTCTTTATGGTGAAAGTCCTGGTTGCTTCTTAGTCAGAAATTGCTGTGAGCTCTCCAGCTTATACATGCAGATTCTGTTTTTAGGTCATATGTATGCTAAGTAACATGGATCGATAAATGAGCCAGAGGAAGAAAGAAATCTAAACTCTCCACAACGGGTTCGTCAATTCATCAAATTTCTTTTCGCATCCAAGCACGTGGCTGAAGGTCAATGAAGTGAGTGAAAACCAAGGAGACCAGGGTTCAAATCCCAGTAGAGACAGAAAATGTTATATGATTTCTTCCTATTTGCTTAAGCCTTGGTGGGTAGTGTTTCCCAGTACTTGTGCTAGTGGGAGGTAGCGGGTACTTGATGAAATAGTCGAGTGCGCGCAAGTTGGACCGGACACCATCATTATCACTAAAAGACAGAACTCATTAATTTCTTTCCTCCCTCAAAGATGGCTGAATTGCACCTTAATGGGCTATCTCTGAGATTTTTTTCCTCTTTCATTCTTAAACTTGTAATTCCCTGTGCTAACAATTTGTTTGAATACTTCTTAAATTTGGGTAAAGCCTTTTTTTTAATGTGATCATCAATGCCTTCACATTGGAATTTCATTAGTTGAAAGGGTCACAGGATAAAGGTGGTCATCTTTTTTCTTTTAGCAAAATTTACAGCTATTTAAAATCTTCACCTATAACCATAAAATGAAGTATGGACCTCAATTGTTGAGAGTTGAGACGTGGAATGGTCAGTGACCTCCTAGGCTCCTATATGACGTGTTGGGTAACAAAGATGTTTTTATGGTACAATTATGCATGTATATAGTTTCAAGGATGTCATGTACATGTTGACGTCTCTATGAGCGATTATCACGGATAAGTTACGGGCAATTGTGTAAAAGATGGTTAATGATTTAACAGGAGCAAAATAAACAGAATAGTGCTTGATGTTCATCCTTACATGTTGGACTTTAGAGAGTGATGAAAATGCTTAGTTTGCTCATGGACTGTCAATTCCTTAGATTTTATTTTGTGTTAGTTGGGGGTGGGGGGAATTACTATATTTATTGGCAGCCATAATGTTTTTTGTGATTCAAATCATATCTTTGTTGCCTCAACTTCTCAATCGGGCATTAGTTACTCTGTGATAATTGTCCGATACTTCTAATTTATTGTTAGAGCTGTAACTTGTCTGCACGACTGCAATTCTTATAATCTATCCATCCAGTGTTCAAAAAGTATTGCTGAGTTAGATGTCTGTCGTTGAAAATGATCCTGTCTTGTCTACAGAAACAAGACTATTTTGTGTTTTTTCCGTTGGGGGTATATAATGCTGCTTAATGCTTGTACTAAGCTATTTTACTCTTTGAAGCTTAACCCGGTTCTCCATTATGTTAGAAGGGCAAAGCTGCTAGCTAGCACAAAATAATGTTGGATGGGTTCCTAATGCTGAGTAAAAGAAAATTATGAGGTTGTCTAAAAGGTTATCTGAAGTTCAACTTCACTCCCAGTAATGGAATTTGGTGCTTAACAGCTATTCAATGCCAAGAGGAAGTTTCAGGGCTTGCAGAAAATCCTGGAAATCAATTTCCTGTACCAGCTGCATATGTCCATGGCAAAGTAGTAACTAGCGATTATTAGTTTGGAAGAATAGAGTCATTTAGTTTTGGCAAACCAGATATGATATTACGAAGTCTATTGTTTTAGCTTTGGCAATTTCTTGACAATAACTGACTCAAGTATCTGGTTTTCTATGGCAGATAACTTCGAAGGTAACTGCATCAGGAAATGTAGTTCAGCCCTCAATTCCTGTTCAGATTGTGCAGATAATTGTCGCAATGCTGGTCATGGACACATGGCAGTACTTTGTGCATCGCTACATGCATCAGAACAAGTTTTTATACCGCCATATTCACTCCCAGCATCATCGGTTAGTTGTGCCTTACGCGATTGGGGCCCTTTATAACCATCCACTTGAAGGTCTCCTCCTGGATACCTTTGGTGGTGCTCTTTCATTTCTTGTTGCCGGAATGACTGCACGTACTGCTGTAATCTTTTTCTGCTTTGCTGTGGTCAAAACGGTTGATGATCATTGTGGACTCTGGCTGCCTGGTAATATCTTCCATTTGTTTTTCCAAAATAACACTGCTTACCATGACATTCATCATCAGCTCCAAGGCACCAAGTTCAATTATTCTCAGCCATTCTTCTCCATATGGGACAAACTTCTTGGAACGTACGTGCCATACAGACTTGTAAAAAGACCTGAGGGTGGTTTCGAGGCACGACTGATGAAAGATTAGTTGCATTTCAATCATTAGTCTCTGTATGATTCAACATGCTTTTTGTAGGGATAGCTACCAATTGAGGTTGTTCACTCTAGCAGCTGCCTTGGAAGGTCTACATTCATCAAGACTTGAAAATGTGCTGCAGAAATTAGAATTGTTCATTCCTTTCTTTTCAGTTGACCCTGCTTATTCGTATTTTTTATCTAACCTCTTGATGATTTGTAAGCCTATTGTTTCTGAGTTCTTACTTTGTGCAGTATTACTTGTTTAACTATTGCAACTTGCTTACACTCTAGCAGGTTGATGATTTTGTATTGCCATTCAAGAGTTGAGTTGGGAAAAATCAAGATCATGTAATTAAAATTGTTAGAACTTCGTAGTGTAAAATCTCATGGTCATTGGAGTTTTTTGCATCGCCCGTTTTATCATTCGTTGTTTAATTATCATTTGGCTTAGCACCTATCTAAACATAGCTGCTTTGCCACAATATCCATTTGCTTAAAGCCAAAATGAACAGGGTGGTTCGACTTGTTTATTGACTGCTGCGTACATGTTGAAATTGAATCTACATTAAAGTAATTGCCCCTGAAGCTCCTCTTTTCATGACATTACACAAACATAATCCTCATCACAAATTTCTGCAAGAGGAATCTCATTTCTTCAGATTTTTGAAAATGAGTCATATCTCTTGAGAGAGCGAGCCTTGGTATAATGGTAGAGTTGCTCCTTTAGTAACTTGTAGATCATGAGTTCTAGTCTTTTTGCGGAAATGCCAAGATACTGCATTCAATATACGCCCATTCTCCCCTATCTCTCAGTCTCGGGGAGCAATTTCAGCACAAGGTGAGCCCTTTTAGTCATACATATGGTTTCCTCCGCCACATCAAACTAATGTGCTTTATACATAAAAATTTGAATCAATCTCACCAGTATTCTTTACAAGAACAAGCCCCATCTTTGAATCTGTGGAAACGAGTCCTGTCTCTCACAATAATCTCCCGCTCATATATCTTTGAAATGAGCTTAATCACAACATGACAATCCCCACATATTCTAAGATTCTTATTCACGCTTATACAAGTGCCATCTTGTGTACTGATCAAACCAAAAGCCACTGCAAGCTTCTCACTATGATAACACAGTGCATTCTCCTTCTCCTCCGGTCCTATATCATGGAACACATAATTAGTTTCTGCCACATACCCGTATTCTCTAATCCTTAGCAAAATCTCATCAAGCTTCCAATAAATCTCCTTCCACTTTGGATGGTTTATATCACCATTCATGAACTTGTATATCGTTCCACCAACCTCAATATAGCTAAAACCCGGTACTTTTTTTACATCCTGGCCTTTCATGGCCTCTCTTACTCTTCTCACATCATGCCACCTCTCCTGTGCCGCATAAAGATTGGAGAGCAACACGAAATTCCCACAATGATTTGATCCCATTTCAACGAGCTTCTTGGACGCTCTCTCTGCCATTTCCACATTACCGTAAGTCTTGGAAGCCCCTAATAGAGTTTGCCATAGAACCACATCAGGAACCGTAGGCATCGACTCTACAATTTTATTAGCTTCATCTAACCGCCCGGATCTTCCCAACAAATCCACCATACTACCATAATGCTTTACATTCTTACTCACTCCACATCTATCCATGGCATCAAACAATTTCATTCCTTCGTCCACCATTCCCGCATGGTTACAAGCACAGATTGCAGCTAAGTAACTAACGCTGTCTGGCTCAATTCCAGTTTGGCCCATTGTCTCGAAAAGCTCAAGCGCTTGTTCTCCATCTCCATACATTGCCAGTGCCATAATCATGGTATTCCACGTGACACGAGTGCTCGAGCATTTCATCTCATTGAACACTTCATAAGCTCTTCTAACAAGACCACATTTAGCATACATATCAATAACTGCATTACAAACAATCACATTGCAATCAAGATTCTTAATTTTGATATATTCATGGACATGTTCGCCTTCTTTGTTCGCCCCCAACTGCGAACAAGCAGAGAGAGCACCAAGCACAGTGACCTCATTTGGTTCCATATTCTCCTCCCTCATTTTCTTAAAAATCTGCAAAGCTTCTGTGGGTCGGTTCCCCTGAGCTAGCCCAGCAATTAACGCGTTCCAACTTGCTATATCTCTAACACCCATTTCATCAAACACTTGGCACGCATAATCCAACTCACCACATTTGGAATACGCATCGAGCAAAGTTGTGCGCAACAAGACATCTGATGCAAACCCAAATCGAATCACATGGGTATGAAGCTGTGGGGTTTCAGAACGCGCCAATGCACGGGCACATGCTTTGAGGGTGAAGGAGCAAGTAAGAGCGTCGGGCTTACAAGGCAAACGAGACATGGAGACATAAAAGATGACAGCATCAATGGGCTTGGGGCTTTGGGCAAGGCCGCGAATGACGGCGTTCCATTCATTCTTGTCAGGGAAAGTGATGTGGCGGAAGATATGGGCGGCGTAAGGGAGGTTGCCGGCGGAAGAGACGGCGCAGAAATCCAAGAATTTAGCGCGGCATGTGTAGAATTGAAAAATACCAGTGGTTACGAGATGGGCTTGGAGTTGTTTGAGTTGGGAGAAAAAACTGCATTTTGACAGTAACGAATCGACGTAGGCCATACCACACTAATGTCGCTTGGGAACAGTTTTAGAAATACTCGCGGTTCTTTCCTCCTTTTTTTTTTTTGAATAAAATTAGAAAGAAATTGACTAATATTAGGATAATGAGGTACTTAGTTTGAGAAGAGATCATGTCATTTGCGAAAATAGTCTAATATTGAAAGTTGATAAGATATAAAGTATGAAGTATTCTTAATGCAAGCTTAATCCTAAGTTGACCCTTTTTTCTTTCTCCATACCACACTCAGTTTTTTTTCTTTCTCCTTTATATAATTGACCCTTTTTTTTTTTTTACACGTATTCATATATTAGATTGACATCAAGTCAATGTAAGGCATTTTAGATAAAAGTATGCGAAATCAAACAATTTCACACCTTGTCAGCGTCTTTGGATAATTTAGTCCAATATAATCCAAGCACTAATTATTCGAACTTTCGAAGTAACTTTGTTTCCTTCCTGGTCATGGGTGCCAGGAATGGACATAAGTAGTCGTGAGCCTAACCTACTACGAGGATGTACTCCAAATTTTAGCAAGAATCTTGAGGTACCATACTACCAGTACTGTTTGCGGAGAGATTTGAATAGGTGCAAGCATAAGTAGGTTCATTTGTATTTTACTCATGCAAGAAAAATAAACATTCAAATTGTATATTTTCTGCTTGACTTGTAAATGAAAAATGAGGCATAGTCAACAGAAAAAAATGATAAATATCTTTCATTTTCGACCTAAAAATTACGAATTTGAATCACCAAGGGAGTAAAGTGGAGGGGATATAAGGAGAAAAAAAGAGGTCTACCCAACCTTTTTTTTTTTTCTCTGCAATAAAAGGGCTTTTACATGACAACTTAGGAGGCGCAAGAAAAATTACCTACATGTATTTACTTACAAAGTTCATCCGTTAAATAATTGAATCACAATGTCGTATACCTTATTGTATGGCATTCCTGTTAATTTTTCAAAAAAGAAAGAAAAAGGTTGAAAGTTTCGAAAAAAAAGAATAAATGCCTGAAATATAGCCTTTCACAAAATCCAGGCCCAGAAGCATCTAGACATTTCCAGTAGCGCCTTCCTTTTCCCCCACCATTATATATAACAAAACCAACTGCCATTTGTCTTTCTTCACGCAGTTGTACACACACGCATATCTCTATCAGTCGCTTAATTTTCCCCTCTGTAATATACTATAAACATGAGGTATGTTCTTCAATCTTCTACTCTTCCTTTGCGTTTTACGACATGTATTTATCTTCCTTCGTAGGGGACTATAATAATCTGTGTTTTTACAGCTTTTTATTCACACATTGCGTAAGACTCGTACATACTATAAGGTTTTGGGTGTTTTCAAGTTTTCTCTCGAAATCAAACCCTAGGATTTAGAGTTTTGTATTTGAACTTTAACGAAAAGGAATTTGTATCTGAATATTTTATGTTCCTCTTTTTTTTTTCCCTTCTATATTTCATTTATAATCTAGTCTGCTCGTCCCTTGAACTTGTGATTTACTAGAAACTAATCTATTCACTTGCTATTGGTAACTATTCTGTTTTTCTCCTTTTTTTTTTGAATTTAAATGATATAGATGTAGCAATTTATCTATCTCTTTGTTTTTTTTTTTTTTTTTTCGTTTTGGGGATGGCCGAGATGAAGGAAGGGGAAAGGACGGTCTCTGGTGAGTGGTGAGTACTGAATATAGGATGCAATGTAGATATGGTATATCTGCTCTTGTTTTTGGAGAACAATTTCTATCTTACTGATTGATGAGATCACTTTAGGAACCATAAATGGCATAGGGAATTTTCTGGAGACGTAATTGCGCAGGCGTTCAACTGATTCTTGTAGAGATATGATAATGAACACATGCTCTGTGCGTCTCCGCCTGTGAAAAGTCAAATATTCTGCTTAAATAGTGGACACATGTAATAAATAAGAAAATACTGAAACCTATAGCCTTTTTGGGTGCTTGCTGCCATTCTTGCTCAATAATGTCTCCACTATTCAATAAATGAGTATTGATGCTTTGGCATCTGCACTATAGCCATGCACTATGTATCCCAAAGCAACACATTTCCTGGCCATTAGTGCTTTGAAGAATCCCTTCAAAATTTATTTAGGTTCTGGTCAATTGCTTTATAATGAGGTTGCAAGGGAATACTTGCTTAGCTTTTCTCTGTTTTCTTTTTGTTCCCTGTCATAGGATGTCAGCGTTATTGTTAGTTGTGTTCTTTTATGATGTTTATCTGAGTTTTTGTTAGTTATGAACTAAAAGTAACCAACTTAAGCGTCAAAATAAATCTAATCCTATTTTACTCAAGACACTATTTTGGTATCTATGTTCTAATTCCTTTAGATACCAACTTCTGAAGTAGAAGCCAACCTTTCACCATCAACAACAATAAACCCAGTGTAATCCCACAGACCTTTCGGCCTTTTATAAAATTTAAATAAGGATAATATCTTTATTTATTTTGAGAAACTTTCCATCTATGAGCGGTCTACCAAAAAGTATGAGCCACATTTTCCAAAGGTACCTAATGTTCTCATGGGTGCTCCAAAAGTTAACCAAAAACGAGATATTATTCCTCAAATGTTCATGGTTAGTCTCTATTCCTTCAAAACCTCCCTTATTTCTGTCCTTCCGTAGGATCACACTGAGGATCTGGGCGGCAACATTCCGTTCTTTGTGTTTCTCTACCTCCTTCAACTGCGTAGGCCGTAGTACATAATTCACTTGTCCAATATTGTCTACTATGCTCCAAAATTAGCGTATATAAGTTAAAACATGACACTATGGAGTATGGTGTTTCTCTACCTTCTATATCAAAGTTGAAGTTGCTCTATGGACTATGGAGTGTCTTAGTTTGTCTTTCACAGTAATCTATCATGGTTCTCTTGTGCACCCATCACAATGCTCATCAGTAGCTGTTCAAACATGAAATGCGGTGGAGTCTCCACCTTCATCTCATAGCTTTGGCCCTATGTCAAGTTGGTCTCTTATCGAACTGTTGCACCTCATTTATTTGTAATTGCATATGAAGAGCTTCATGTGGTGCTTGCTTGAATTTTTTTTTACTTCTGCATGTAATTAATATAGCAATTCGGGATCTACCATTATGTGCCATGCTCCAAGTTCTTATTCCCTACATATAGTGGGATAATCAGATAAAAATGACAAAGGAGACAATTATACATAGGATCATTTGTTCACTTACCTTCCTCAAAATTTCTTGTCTTGAAATATCATTTATGAGTTAATGAGTTCTCAGACTCATTTATTTAACTTGGTTGAGATCCATTTGTTTTCTGCTTCTCTATCTCAGCCGTCACCCTGCTGTCAAGTGGGCCCAGAGGTCCGACAAGCTGTTTATCACGGTGGAGTTGCCGGATGCCAAGAATGTGAAGCTGAAACTGGAACCAGAAGGAAAATTCTTCTTTTCTGCAACTGCAGGAGCTGATAATGTACCGTATGAAGTGGATCTCGATCTCTTTGATAAAATTAATGTTGATGTAAGTGAAGCTCCCTCAGTCCATATCTGCAAATTTTTGTGTGAGAATTAATGTTAATTTTACTGTAACAACTAAAATTAATAATGTTAATTTTACTAAAAAATGTTCATTCAGGAGAGCAAAACTAGTACTACTTCTAGAAGTATCGTTTATCTTGTGAAGAAGGCAGAAGACAAGTGGTGGAGCAGACTGATAAAGCAGGAAGGTGTACGTCCAGTGTTTTTGAAAGTTGACTGGGACAAATGGGTTGATGAAGATGAAGAGGACACTAAACGTTAGTATAAAGTCACTAGGAACATGCTTTACTGTTGATATTAATTATTTGGTATATATATTTGCTAACCATGATACTAATATTTCAGCTGGGACAGATATGGATTTTGGTGACATTGACTTCTCGGTAAGCAGCTTTAGAGATACTAATAGCCAGCAGTGGTTGTTTTCGTCTATATTTATGCTGAAGTTTTAACATGACCCCTTTATTATTCTCTCAGAAACTCAACATGGGAGGCGGTCCTAGTGATTTTGATGCTGATGTGCCTGAGGGTAAGTCAGCTTTGGTTACCCAGCAACAGTACCATCCCGATATGTTCAGCTTCAAATCTTCTGCTCTGGATTTGATTTGTCAGTTGTAAAATTTGTTTTGTTCTTATCTAATGTAAGACTTTTTTCTGCAGGAGACTATGACAGTGACACCGAGGAAGAAGAAGTGAGGGAGGAAGAAAATAGTGCACATAATGAACCTAAAGCAACAGTACCTCCAAGCACAGAACCCGAAGCAAAAGCTTAATGCGTTTGTAATATCTGAAAAGCGTTTTAGCTGCTTGAGTTTTACTGTAGTACTGTTAGTTATGGCTAGAGCAGTTGTGCAGGAATTGATGTCAGTTTATGCTATATTTTAAAGATCAGGTGTTCCCTGTTATTGACTTGTTATCATATAGCTCTTGTTATTTGGTTACAGATGATGGTTACAATCTTCTTGTCTGTGTGTCTTCTGAAGGATTTTGTTTCAAGGCGAAAATCATTTGTGGTTGAGATGCCCTAGTTGAATGAATCTTTGTGCATGTATGGCCTTAAGGATTTGCTTATTCCGGATGATTTGCAGGTCATTTGGCGACTTTATTCCAATCCGATTCCAAGCTTAGAGTGCTTGTACCCAAATGCAACATAGAATACGTCCTTTAGCATACTGATCACATTGCACTAGATTACTTGGTTCTTACGATTTCAATTTCTACAGTAGTTCAGCAATCCGCTGGTGTACCAAATTGAGCTGATGGTATACGTGATTAGTCGATTGAATGACTAGCAAAAAAATGTTTGCAAAAATTTGGATTGTTTGATTGACACGGGAACTGGGGAGTAGGGGTGGCGATTTGACCATTTAATCCGTCCAACTAGCCTAAAGATTAATGGGTTGGGTGACAAATATTTTAGCTCATGAGTCAATTTGGGTTGCGCCCAAGTTAACCCATTATTTTTTATAGCTCATTCTGAGTTTCTGACCCATTTAACAGCCCAAATATAACCCATGAAACTCACCCAAAACAAAGGATCTCAACCCAACTTATCTAGAAATTTACTTAGTT